AGATGTTCTGCTCCTGAATCAGCTGGGTGGGTCTTGCCTCTAGCCTCTTTGCAGGGAGTTCTGCTGAAGGGTTCCCTGCTGGGCCTGCATGCAGCCTCGGTCAAATGAGGATCCGCGGGCCCCTGGTCATCTCACTGACTCACCGGGCCTGCACTCTGGGTCTGTTCAGGATCCCGCGGCCCTCAGTTGTCTAACTCACTCGCAGGGCCTGCGCTCTGGGTCTGTGCAGGATCCCGCGGCCTGGGTTGTCTCACTCACTCGCGGGGCCTGCGCTCCGGATCTGTTCAGGATCCCGCGGCCTGGGTCGTCTCCTCAACTGTTTTTTAATAGTACACATAAGTTATACAGAATAATAGTTTTCATTTTGGCATAATTGGGCTGGGGATATAGCTCAGTGGCAAAGTGCTGGTGCAGCAAGCATAATGTCATGAGTTTGATTCCTGGTTAAAAACAGACAAACAAAAACCCTTGACCCATTTTGGCATAGGTAAGTTATCAGAGAAGGAGAAGGCATCCCGTGTAGAGTAGCTCGCAGCGTAATCAAGACCATGGCCTCCTAGGTACAATAATCGGGCTGTACACAATAGGATGCAGGCCCACCAATGTGAAGTTTCACATCTAGCCCAGTGTCTTTCCTCCCACTACCCTTATTTGTTAGCCCAATGCCAGCTGCTGCTGACCACAGTAACTGTTCTGTAGTTATTAACGCTTGTAACTTTGAGAAGAAAGGGACAGAATGTAAAGAGAATTTGTTCTATAGGAATCTGTTCAAGTCCAGTCTAATCCGTTAGCTAAGCCTCAGATCCACTGGCAGTTCTGGCTCTGGTAACTGATAAGTGATGTTAAGCAACTTGTTTAAGATTATGAAGCTAATAAGTACCAATGTTTTGAACCCAGGGCTTCCGTTCCTGCTCTTCAGGCCTCATGCACATCTTCTTCTTTATCCATGGTCATGTTGTGAATCTTACCTCTGAGATTTAATTGTTAACTCCAGTAGTGTCAGTTACATGACCTATGTGCACCTACCTAGCCTAATGAATTGCTTCTGTTTGTGGAATTAAGCCTTCCGCCTAAAGCCTTTGTTAACATTGGACAACACTGTCTTAGTCTTAGTTATTATTTTATCTGCTGAAATGATGATTATCACCAGTGCCTTGACCTCTAGCCTTCTTCCCTCCCCAAGCAGCTCATTTATCTAAACTCATATTGTCTCACATCACTCAGAGCAACAGACATCATGAGTAAATTGTGTGTTGATGTGCATTTTAAGAGCACTCAGTTGTATTACTTAGTGAGTTCTTTGTCTTTGGTTCATGTATGTTATTTTGGCACATTGCTTTATAAAACTTTTAAGTGTATTTATTAGATAGGCAAAGATTTTTTTTCTTTTACTTAAATCAGTAAATGCATTTTGCAATTTGTTCACTGTGACCACAAAGATATGACTATATGTGTGTGTATAATTTTTTTCTGAAAATCAACTGCTTTTTAATAGCTAAATACAGAATAATGGTTTTCATTTTGGCATAATTGGGCTGGGGATATAGCTCAGTGGCAAAGTGCTGGCCCAGCAAGTGCAATGTCATGAGTTTGATTCCTGGTTAAAAACAGACAAACAAAAACTCCTGACCCATTTTGGCATATGCACATATGCATGTAACATACTTTGACTATTATTCTTTCTCATTACTCTCTTCCCCTTCTTCTTCCCTCCTAATACCATGTTTAAAAAATTATTTTTTTCTAGAATTTTCATATGTGATTTTGTAACAAGTTATTCTTAAGTATTTTTTCATTTAAGTATAGTGCTTTCTGTTTGTTTTCTGAGACAAGGTCTCAGCATATAGTTCAGGTTGGCCTTGAACTTACTATGTGGCCCAGGCTGCCTTCAAATTGATGGAAATCTTCCTGTCTCAGCCTCCTGAATGCTGGGATTACAGGCATGCATCATCATGCTGGCAAGTACAATGATGATGTATTAAACCTTGTGACAATTTTCTTCTTTTTTTAAATGCTTTTAATCTTTCAGTTGTTTATTTATTTGGTACAGGGTCTCACGAGACAGGTGGGACTCATAGTGACCCTCCTGTCTCAGCCTCCCCAGTGCTGGGATTGTAAGTGTTCACCACCACACTCAGTTTTGGTGGCCGGCATGACATGTGGTACTGGGGATCAAACCTGGGTCCTTGCACTTGCCTGGCAGGCACTTACACTGCCGAGCTATCTCCCCAGCCCAACAATTTTCTTTTTTAAATAGCCCTAAAATTTGAGATACTTATCCAAGATTTAGACTAAGAAATTACAGAAATGGTCACAGAGACTTACAACAATGATCTGTGACTAATCCATTCTATTGGATAATTCAGTGTTAAGGTTGAGGCAGGGAGATAGCAAATTGAAGCCCAGCCTGAGCAATTTAGTGAGGCCCTTCCTAAAAAGTAAAAATAAAATAAAAGCTGTGAAAGTAACCTGGGGCCAAGAGCCTGGGTTCAATCTCCATTACTGTCTCCCTCATGAAAATGTTTTGACTAGTCCTACTATGTTTGATGATGCTATATCTAAGTAAACTTAACTATGTTGAGACTGAATATGGTATCTATGAGTTAAATTACAAATGAATCAAAGTCTTTGTTTGACTGTATCTGCATGGTGAGGGAGGCAGGTAGTTCTGGTTATATGATAGAGAGCCCTGTGTCTCAAAAGTTAAGACATTGCTCTCTCACTTGTCTGTCTTTCTTTCTTTCTTTCTTTCTTTCTTTCTTTCTTTCTTTCTTTCTTTCTTTCTTTCTTTTTCATTTTTATGTATTTGCTACAGTGTTTCACTATACAGCTCAGACTCCTATTGAATCTCCTGTTTTTCAGCCTCTCCAGGGCTGGGATTACAAGCATACACTACCATGCCCTAGGGCAGGGCCGGCATGGCATGTGGGACCGAGGATTGAACCCTCCTGGTCCCTGCTCTTGCCAAAGCAGGTGCTTAGTCCACTGAGCTATCTCACTGGCCCTTGCTTTTTCTAAAAATGGTGATCATTGCGTGGCTGAAAATTAACAGAAAATGCCTGTGATACTAAATAAATGAAGTAATCTGTTACATTAAACAAGATTATAAAATAAAAAGATTTCTTGTATGAAGGAAAACATATTATATTTGATATTCTGAGTCTGGTTTATTTCATTTAGTATTATGATTCCAAGTTCTATCCATTTTCCTACAAATAACATGCTTTTATTCTTTCTGTGTACTAATATTCCATTGTGTACATATACCACACTTCCTTTAACCGTTCATCTGTCCATGAGCAGCTAGGCTGTTTCCATAGTTTTCCTATTGTGAATAGTGCCACAATAAACATGGGTAGGTGTGGTAATTATCATATACTGACCTTAATTCTTTCAGGAATATAACAAAAGGAATGGTTTTTGCTGCATTAAATCATATCTCTATTTTTAGTTTTTCGAGGAGACTCTATAACTTGTAGTATAAACACACAACCATACACATACACACACACACACACCAGCATTTATTGCCCCTTGTGCTCTTGATGACAGTCATTCTGACTGGGCAGATGGAATCTAAATGCAATTTTGATTTACATTTCCTTGATGGCTAAAGATGCATCAACATATTTTAATGCTCTTAGTTTTGACTTCCTTATTTTTTAATTTTTTATGCATTTGGTACAGGGTCTCACTACACAGCTCAGACTCTAGTGATCCTCCCATTGTCAGCCTCACTGGGGCTGTGATTACAGGCGTGCACCACTACGCCCAAGCTTGGTGGCCAGCTCAGCACGCCCAAGGGCATGTGGTGCTGGGGACTGAACCCCAGTCCCTGTGCTTGCCACGTAGGCACTTAGTCTACTGAGCTGTCTCGCCAGCCTTCAGTTTTGACTTTTTAAAAGCAATTTTCAATATGTATATAAAATTCTTGGTAACTTTTTTTATATGCTTTCTTTATTCCTTTAGAATTGGCCTACAGGGTGATATGACTGATCGAAGAACAAATAGCTTCTTACATGTTCTAGATATTCTCCCGAGGTAAAATCTTCTATTTTTGTACGTTAAAGTTAAAATTATATGAATAGAGCAATGTGACATTCTCAGAGATTACCAGCTTTTCCATACTCTCTTCCATACTATGCATGGCATTTATCATTTGCTGTGACTAATAAATAGAATAACACCATGTGTTGTACAATTCTATGATTGCCACCCCATGAATGACAGGAATAACAGCCCTCAAGTTCAATTCTATTGCCTTTTCTCATATTAGTAATGTAAATGATGCTAATGTTAGTGACTGCTGTTACTGTTGGCTAGAGACTTGTGCTACTGCCATCGTTCTGTGTGAATGGCAGCCAGTGTTGAGGTGAGTGAAATAGAAGTTAATATGTCAAGTGTGGGCTTTATCAAGTGTGCTGTACTTATGGAGTAAAATGGACAAAATTTGAGTTGTCTCCATTCTCTAAATCTCCTTTATAAAGAATTAAGAAAATGCTTACTGTCATGTTTCCCACAGTTATGATATTTAATTTTTCTTTTAATGAATTATTTGGAATTACATGTTTGACTTTTGTTTTTAGATTACAAAAATTACCGAAGTATATTCTTTTAGAAAATGTTAAAGGTTTTGAAATATCTTCTACAAGGTAAAAAACCGTTTGTCTTGCCTATGTATTTCACTTCATGTATTTTGTAGTAGGAATGGTTGTAAAGTAAAGGTCATAAACATAAACATACAGATCCTGACATGTGCATATTGAATACTTTACTTACTAATGCTGATTCTGACTAATCATGTAAAGTATTCTAAGGTTTTGTTCTATTGAGTCTGTCTTGTTGTCTTTGAATTTTTCCAGATGGAGCCCTGCTTTTATGGAAATTGTAGTTTTCGATTTTAGTCACTTGTGTTGGGGCCTATTTCCCCTCATGAAGTAATGTGTTCAGTAAGAACTGGTCCTGTTGCAGGCATTTTCTGCCCTCCAGTCCCAAGCATGAAGTAGCCCTGCACTGGGATTCTGTCAGATGGTAGGCCCAGTAGGAAGAAGGCACCCAACTGAGTCTCTGATTTACAGGCTCTTTTGGCAGTAATCGTGTTTCCAGGGATTTGCTGCCATAATGATACAGTTTCAGTTTGCATAGCAAATTCATAGTAGATTAATGATTTGAACTTTCATTAGTGTGAGTGCATTAGTTTATCATTTACTTGTAGGAAACAATTATCTGTATCTATTTTTTAAACAAGCTATTAATTTGTTTAATTACTGAGCAGGGTCGGGAGGGGGTGGCAGTAGGACCAGACACCAAAACCAAAGATGGCTACAGTAGTTTCAGGACATGACATGGGCTGCAGAAACCCTCCAGTCCAAACATTCCACTCTTCAATATGAGGAGGACTTAAGCTACAGAGAGAAGACGAACAGACATGTAAACGTCTTCTGTTACTGGAAAATTCTCATGCTACATGAGAAAGACCCAGTGTAAGACATTGCCTCTTCCCAGGCACAGTCATCCAAATAATTAGTTGAAAAGAGTTCAACTATTGATAACGCCTTCACCCCTCGCCTGTGCTGCACTCTCTACCCTTCTACCCTTCCATATCTGATGCAATTCTACTTTTTCGTCATAGGAAAAAGAGTTTTGCATGAAAGTTATTCCCTTTAAATATGATTAACATTACACAGGGACAATTATAGAAAACATAAAACTGTGTTAGTTAAATGTGTCATCAGTTATGTATGTGCTTTTCACTAAAATAAATAGGAATTTAGGACTAGAGGAATACTAAAGTAAACTTCACATTTTTCTGAGGTGCCAAGGACTTTTTCTCAATATTAACACTGAGACCATTCTTAAAGTCGACCTGCTCTGTTATATTAAATGTGGCTTTATTTCACCTTCTCCCGATACTCCACCTCAGGTATCTTTTTTCATAAAAGGTAATTTCTCAAGTACTGGGCTTAGCAAAGACTTGAGGTCACTGTCTTTCTAAACAGCTTTAGTGCGGTTACAGTTCTCACAATGTGGGCAGTTTTATGTACATTATTTAGTATGAATCCCACTTCCATTTAGAGTAAAAGCTTGTCTTTTTTACTTTTTTTCCTTCTCAGAGACCTGTTGATAGAAACAATAGAAAATTGTGGCTTTCAGTATCAAGAATTTCTATTATCTCCAACTGCTGTAGGTAACACAGTTATAAATCCTTTTATAGACTGTAATTTAGGGATTGTTTTTCCTAGTGGGGATTTGGTTAATAAAATGGTTCTATGTTCAGTAATACTTTGTGTACATCCTGCAAGTAGCTCAGATCTGTATCTTTCTTAAGAATGTAGTAAATGCATTTAGTTTTTTATTTTTACTTCATGAAAAATATATACTTTGAAGCTCCTAAAGGATATATTTTCCTTTAGAAAATAAATGATAGCATGTTGCATATTTTGAAAATACCTGCAGTTTGGTATTTCCATTGTAGATGTGCTGTGTTCCGTAATGCTTAAAAGTAAAACAAGATAGAAAATAATTCTGTAATTACTTTTTGTTTGAATGTCATTAGCTTGCAACCATTCTTTTCCCTTCATGTTAAAACAGAATAATTGGTTATGCTATTTGACATATTTAAGTTTTGCAAGTTAGTAAAAACTGGATCAGGAAGAGCTGCTCTGCTTTCCCTACAGCTGGGCATCCCCAACTCACGGCTCCGGTACTTCCTCATCGCAAGGCTTCAGTCAGAGCCGTTACCCTTCCATGCCCCAGGCCAGGTATTACTTTTATTGCTATATTGTGATTTATTTGTTGTAGGTGTATCTCAGTCTGCTAATGTATTTTCAAGAGCTGCTTTTTGTAGGCCTTTAAGTGTCCTTAGAGTCTGTAGTACCAGACCCTTCCCTAGGTCCATCTCTAAGGCCTCTTCACTCACTTCATGCCACTTTCATGGGCAGAAACTAACCAAAACCAAAACAAAACATGCAGAATGTCTTCATCAGAGAAAAATAAGTTAAAATTAAGAAAAAGAAAAAAAAAATCTTACCATGAATGTTGATAATTTATCTTTTGACTGAGGGCTATTTTACATTTATCATTTTCTTTCCTCAATTGAAGCTGTTGGTTATTTTTGATAAAATATATTGACAAAAATAAAAGAATATTTTAACACATTGGTTGCATTTTCTTTAAAACCTATCGTATTTAGCTTAATGGATTGGAATGCAATAATAATTTGTAAAAGAATAAGGTGTTCCACTGGAACAAATAGAACTCTAATTGTGGGAGCAATTTTTTATGCTTCTGTCAAAAATGGAGATGGTTTAGTGGTTTCTTTGGTTCTGTGAAGTTCTCCATAGCCACTGCTAACTAATGAGTTAAGTACTGGAAAGCAAGTCCTTCTGGCGTGGTGATGCCTGCCTGCCTGCCAGCCCAGCACTGAGGAGGGCTGAGCAGGAAGACGGTGACTTGCACTCCTGTCTTGGCTGCTTAGCAAGACACCATCTCAACTAAGACATGAAAAAGGACTGAAGATGTAGCACAGTGATGGAGCACCACTGGATTCAATCCCCAGTAGCAGCACGAAATGAAGCAACAACAGAGGACCCCACAGCTTTCTACTAGGAAATCAGTTGTCATTTGAATCTCCTCTAGTTACTATACTAATATCTCTCCCTTTTCATGAAGAATCATTCTATTTGGCTAGGATAGATATATAGTTACATTCTCTTAATGAATAGAGGGATTTGTTGTAATAGTGTTTGTAAATAGGAAATCATGTCTGCATTTTGTACAGCAAATAACCACTAGGAAGAATGTATGTAATGTGTTAATTACTGAAACTGTCCTACCAATTTGGTTTGAAACTGTCTCATTGCTATTTGTTTCTCAATAAAATTATGGAGAAAAAAACCCAAAAAAAAATGATATTTCAGATGATGGATAAAAAAAAAGTAAAATAGAGAAACTTAAGAAGGAAACCAAGTTTCAAAATAGGTTAGAAGAACAGTTATAATAGTTTATACATGGTGTATTGTTATCTTTGTAGTAGTTAATCAAAGTAGAAATATAAGCATAATATCTTGTTTATGAAAATTTTATCACAAGTCTTTCTTTTTAATAAATTAAGAGAAATTACTTGAAAAAAGAATAATTCCAAAAATAATGTATAATGTATAATAATATGTATATTAACAAAGACTTAATCATTAAAAATGGCTGAGGCAGTTTTTGTTTTATAAAATGGGACTTATACATGGTCTTTTAGATCATGCGCATGTACCAGTTTTTCCTTCTTTTTCAGTTCCTTTTTAATGAAAGAGTATGATAACTTTGATCTCAAAAAGTTTTTTTTTAATGTTATTTTTTTTAACTTTAAAAAAAAATATGGTGCTGCGCTTGCATAGATAAGCACAGGAGTTAGGGTTGGATCCCTGACACCGCATGCCATGCGAGCCGCGCCCCTGGGCACACTGAGCCGGTGATGGAGTCCGATGGAGTCTGGGCACACACCTGTAATCCCAGCACTAGGGAAGCAAAAATCAGGACAATCACTACAAGTCCCAGCTGCGTAATGAGACCCTGCACTAAATGAATAAATAAATAGTGCTATATCTATATTTAATATATGTCTTGTTTTGTTGAGTGTTTTTAAATTAATAAATATAGAAAACAGTAATTCCATGAAATAAATCATCTGTAACTTGATGACATTGATATAACTATATGATTAATAACTTGTAATAACTTGTACAAACATAAGTAAGCCACAGTTTCTCTTTTAAATTGTAACCCTATAAAAGGGTTTTTTTTCTATAATGTTTGCTGGATATTATTAACTTATCTTTGGTGCTTAATGAAGCTTTTGACATTTTGTGTATTTTTGACTTAATGCCAGGTACTGATGGATTTTCCCAAAATTGAATCTGAACAGCCACAAAAACATTCAATAGGTGCAGAAAATAGAAGTGATGTAAAGCAAATTGAACCCAATACTTGTTTTGATAGCCCACAGTGCTCTGCCAAAGGTACCATCCTTTTTAAGCTTGAAACAGCAGAAGAAATTGACAGAAAATACCAACAGGACAATGATCTGTCTGTGAAAATGCTGAAAGATTTTCTTGAAGAAGAAATTGACATGAATCAGTACTTTTTACCACCTAAGTCACTGCTGCGATATGCTTTTTTATTAGATATTGTTAAACCCGCCTGCAGAAGGTCCACGTGCTTCACCAAAGGGTAGGTTCTCAGGAGACCACATTTGTGTCGTACCCGCAGTAACCAGACTTTTGTAGCATTGTTTCTTTTAGTTTTTAAAATAAGGAACTTTGTATAAGATGTTTCTACTGGAATGATTTTGTCTTGGGGTACATCATTTCTTGCTTCCTATCCCATTAAAATACAAGGGAAATTTTCTTCTGGCAGGAAGTTGCATGCGCCAGCACGCAAGTGTCCAGACAGGACCATTTGTTTGGTCACCTTCATAAATGTGCGGTATATATATCTTTCTGTATCTCTGAAACAGCCAAGTTTTTATTACCTCTTTGATGCATCAAGCCTCGAGTTTTATGTCCATTTTCATGATAAGCATGTAAGAAGAAATTAAATTTTAATCTAAAAGTTGGATCACGTGAGGGTATTTTAGGGTAATTTTAAACTTTTTTCCATTTTTGAAAAAGTACTATATTACCATGATTCCAAATTTAAAAGACATCAAGATTACAAGACTCCTTCCTACTTGTGTCTCACCATCTAGTATGTCTCCATATGTGCAGTGCATGGTAGCAATTGACTTCATAACCTTGAAGAAGTGTTATTAGTGAGGGTTTAAATATACATGCATTTTTGTCCCTATTTTAAGGAAATGGTGGCTGCTATATGTAGTATTATGTGTCCTTTCTCACTGTAGATTGGATATTGCAGTCCATCGGTATGCACAGGTCATTTTTATTTTTATGGTATAGCATGTCATCACTTGTTTTACTGGTTACCAATTAATGAACAGTTAGGGCATGTCTTTGGGTCCTCTTTCGAATGTTTAAGACATTTTCCTCAATTTCTAAAACCTAAAATGAAGGGGAAAATTAGACTTTTTCAGAAAAATTTGTCCAAAGATCCCATTTAGTGAATGCCACTGACCATATTCTGCAGGCTGTTGTACGATGTGATAGTTCACGCCTTCTCCTCTTACCCACTCGCTGGCTGTCTCGACACTGAGCCCTGAGAGAGCCGTATCAGACTCTTCCTTGATCGTACTCTGCCCTGTACTTCTTCTTGCCATAAGACTTCACACAGCTGTTGTCTGTTACCAAGTCCAAGAGGGTCTGTTTAGGACTCTCATAAAATAAGATTTATCAATTTGTAATAAAAAGCAACCTTTAGATTCTTTCATAGTTATGAAAATGGTAAAAAAGGAAACCATACTGTAGAAGTCTGTTCTACGATGTGTGTGTGTGTGTGTGTGTGTATTCATACATGTGATATATTTAAAAAAGTTACTTTCCCAATTGTGCCTTTTTTCTAAAATAGATCTTACATTACTGTCTTTGCAATTAGTACAATTGATAATATATTGAGTAACCACCTTAGGAAATGGTTTAGAGAAAAAAAAATTACTAATTCATTTCTGTACTATTTTATCATACTTTTTATAGTTTTTACATGATGGCTTAATTCTTGTTGAAAATGATAGTAAGCACATACTGAATTAAATGAGAGGCAGACTCCAGCTTCTGTTGGGCCGTGTTTGTGTGGCATTAGGCAACAGGACTTTGGGATCCTGAGAAGACTTAATCAGTCAGGCATTATTAAAAATAGCTGCAGTCTGTTTTTACCTACACAGCACTTTGTTTTAATGTGACGGGGATGCCACTATTGAATAACCTTTGAGTATCAAGTTTAGTCTCTGGTGATAAACGTTACAGAAATGACATTACAGAAATGAAACAGTAATCCAGTTGTGCATACACAACCCATAAAACTATGCCATGTTAACTTCTGAGTATAAATAGCATTATCTTATGTCTTTCCCCTAGTAATTTTTCAAATACAAGTATATTTATGGGATATCATTCCGTATATTTCAGAAGGCTGTAACTATCAAGATTAAGTCATTAAAAATATGTATGAAGTTTAGCATTAACAGTTATTAGGTGCTGCTTAATACTCATGTTAATTTTTTAGTTATGGAAGTTACGTGGAAGGGACAGGATCCGTGTTACAGACTGCAGAGGATGTACAGGTACCATGTATGTTTTACAGCTGAAATTTTTTTATAACAGTATTACATTTAATTCTTAATTTCAAAGTGTTTTTACCTGTTCCATTGAGAATGGTTATTCATTTTTGTCTTTATTGATACAGAGTTTCATTATAGTAGAAAATACTTTTTCCTGTTGTCGTATATGACTTTGTACATAGGGAGTTTCCACCCTCTCCCCTTTGGTCTTTTTGAGACAGGGTCTTGCTGTATATAGTTCAGGCTGGCCTTGAGCTCACTTTGTAGCCCAGCCTGGTCTTGAACTCCTAACGGTCTTCCTGTCGCACCTTTCTGAGTGCTGGGATTACAGCCATGTACCACCATGCCTGGTGAATGCTTCATTTTTATTTTACTTTTTCTTATATTTATTTCCTTTTATTTGATAAATAGTAAATTAAAATTTAGTGAACAGCAGTTACTATTCTAAAATGTTGCATAAACATATTATTGGTGTTTTCCTTTGTAGCATGTACCATAAAACTTCCTTTTTAAAGAAAATCTGTTGTAGCAATGCATTTTATTCTTTAGTTATACATTCTTCATGGTGTCATAGTTGAAAACAAGCCTGAGGTATAGCAAATTTATATATTTTTGAAAAATCATAAAATCACATTATCTTTTATATTGATTCAAGCTCTTACCTACTGATAAAATTTACTCATGGTAAAATTTTTGTCATAAGTGCGTGAAGGTGTAGGTTTGAGAAATTTACTTAATATACAATATTTTATCGTCATCTTAAAGTATGAAATATATAAACAACATGTTTTAGTGTTCTTGTTATCATTATAAAATTAATTATTGCTTTGTTAGTTGACTTAGTTTCTTTTTCTTTCACTGTGTTTATGTAATATTGTTATTTATTGGTTATAGTCTCAAGATTTCATTTTAAGGAATTCAAAATGATAGATACACTGAGAAATATCTTAATCTGGTCCCTGTTAGCCATTTCTTCTTTTTCAAAGCTTATAATGTAATTATTGAACCATGATTTTTTTGCACAAAGACGTTTTCCCTGTGTGTCCTTTTGCTATGTGCAACAGCAGACCTGATGTCCATTGCTTTCAATTGGTCTCACAGTTAGAACACATGACAAATCTGGTGGTACAGTACTTTCTCATGCATTTATATGTTTTCTTATAGATTGAGACTATCTACAAATCCCTTACCAGTTTGCCAGAAGAAGAACAGATAACAAAGTTGTCAATGCTTAAACTTCGATATTTCACTCCTAAAGAAATAGCAAATCTCCTTGGATTTCCTCCAGAGTTCGGTATGTGGGATCCATGTAGATTCGTCTTTCATTTATTAACATTCTCAAAATTCCCTTAGAGACTCACATGGGTATTTAATGAATAAACCCTGGCCTAGTTAGGTGAGTTCAAGAAATGCCCTCCTGTTCCAAGTGCCATTTTGGCATTTTTCCCACCCTCTTTGTCCTTTTCCTAATAACCTGCTGCTGTCTGTTCCTCTGACTTTACTCTAGTAGTGGTCAGAGTGCTTTGCATACACAAAAGGGGCAAATAGACCCAGAGCAGTATTTGTTAGTAGTATCTTTTCTTACTTCTGGAGTCTGATCTTAGTAACTCACACTAGATCTAGTGAAACAATGCCCTTTGTTAATTTCTTTCAGTGAAATAATATAAAAGGCAGTTTAGTTGAAGAATTGAGGTGGGAGAATGTTTGTATTTATTTTCCTCTGAAAATATATATTGTTATTAGTTATGTGCCTTTCTCCTTCCCTGGGTTGATTAAGGTAGAGAAGCTTAAGAAAGTGAGGAGACTCAGGAGCACAGTTTAGGGGACCTCTGTAGAGCCTTTCAAGAACAGTGCCATAGCTGTATAGGGGTGTGTGTGTGTGTGTGTGTGTGCGTGTGTGCACGCTTGTGTGCGTGCTTCCAGTTCCTAGCTTATGACCTTACCAGCATGCTTCCAGCGCTGCAGAAGTGGGAAATACGTTTCTGAGAATTCTGACTGGAAATTTGAATATACAAAAGAAAATCTTCATTAAATCTGTGCTGTTGCAATATTAATACAGCCTTATTTTTGAAGTACAAATGGATGAAATAGATCATATTTTAGTTCTTAATAATGGATTTATAGATGAGGCTTTGAGACGTAATACTTTTGTACATTGGGGGAAAACCGCCCATACAGTTTATTCTCTTAGTAATGATTCTTAGCACAGTTATAGCACCAGTTTATGCCTTCCCCCTGTGGAGATCTAATTCAGTCTGAAATATCATGGGAGTATTATTGTATTTATGAAAATGTATTTTCTTGGGCCGATCTGATAGCTCAGCAGACTAAAGTACCTGCTTAGGCAGAACACAGTGGCCTGGGTTCGATGGGCACTCTGGGGAGTCGATTGAGACCGGGCGTAGTGGTGCGTGCCTATAATCTCAGAGTTTGGGAAGCTGAAAACAGGAGAATCACTGCAAGTCCAGTCTACATAGTGAGACCCTATAGAGCCTGTGCTAAATATAAGGTGGGGGGAAGAAAAGAAAATGTATTCATCATAAAACAAAGACCTGAGACTCGGACTCAAGAATTCTAACTTGCAGTTTGCTTTCCTTGTTGCCATTTTTTCTTTTGTGAACAATTAGATTCACTTTGCACACTAATAAACAAGAAATTAAGTAATAAAAGTGACCGCCTAGGTTTTATCACAGTGCTTGTTTTTATTCCAGGGTTAGTCACTTTGGGAGCCATGGGACGTGGTAAGGGGTGCAGACAGCCTGGGGTTAGATGGAGCTTTAATGCTGATAGCACCAGAGCACCTGCTTATGTGCTGTATTTCAATTGCGTGGCCCTGAGCAGCCCTGTGGCACAGCTGTCCTTCGTGTGTGCTCCCAACACGGTCGATTGGGGGTCAGCAACGAGCCTGGCTTGAGCTGTTTGTCCACTGACAAGGATGGATCTGCATTGATCTTCTCTACATTTGGCTTGACTCATAGCAACTGACAGAAATGTGTTCATGAAGGCAGGGACAGTATCCTACACTTACTGTACGAGAGCTATTATCCTGAGCATGTTAATTTTTGTTTCTTTGCCTTTGAGGATTATTTTAACTTGTCTGAGTTTTTCAAAGTTACCTTTTAACTTAAGCAATTATGTGTTTTCTGTTAATTAGTTTATTTATTTATTTTTGTGGTACTGGGGATTGAACTCAGGACCTTGAGCTTGCCAGGCAAGCACTTACTCTACTGAGCTGTCTCCCCAGCCCCTCTATTATAATCCTTATATATAAAGTACACACAGATACACATACATAATTTTTACAGGTTCAGCTTTTTTACAAAGCTTTTCTCTCTTTAAAATAATACTATTATAAAAGGTTGTTTCTGAGATATTTTAGTAGTACTTATTTATAGTACATGAAGTTTATATTCATTTTGGAGAGTAGGTATATGTGCTTAATATACCTTGTTTCTTTTTATTCTCTTGCCCCTCGCCACCTACCTCCGTCCCTGTGTCTGCATTATCTTGCCCCATTTTCATTACTATTGTTACACTTTTTAAATTCGTGTTTGCATCTTATTATGATTACATTCACTGTGGATATTTGGAACATCCTTCATGCAACACATCCTTTATTTTCTTGGAAAAGAGCTATCTCCCTAGTCCTTTCATCATCTTTTGTCTTTTATTTGTATTTTGTATTACATGTGAGAAACTGTACTTTTAAGCTTGTATGCCTAATTTATTTCAATTAATATTGTTTCCAAGGTGTACCCACTTTCCTATAAGTATCTCGAGTGTATCCTTCTTTATAGCCAAGTAGTATTGCATTATATATAAGTTGCACATTTTCTTTATTCATTCTTCTGTCGATAGACATATGTATGTACAGGCTGCTTCCAGGATTAACTGTTATGAATTGTGCTGCTGTGAATATTGGCATGCCTGTATCCCTGTAGTATGGTGTCTGTAGCTGTTTTCAGAATATCTCTAGAAAGGGACTAGCTGTGTCAAATGAAATTTCTATTTTCATTTTTTTGAGAAATCTCCATACTGATGGCCAGAATGATTTTAAAAAGGATCCTTCTACATTGTTGGTAGGAATACAAATTAGTACAACCATTATATCCCTGAGATATCCTAAAAGCTTGTTTGTAGATCCGACTGCTTGAGCTAAATTAGATGAGTCATGCTTACCTATGACATGTTATCTTTAGACTATCAACATTAAAATCATGTTCAATTGCAAATCATAGTTTTACTGTGGCAGTTACTGTTAATGTAAGGTCAAGTGTTGATGAAGCAATTTTATCATAACCAATTTGACTTTCTGATTCTTGCAAGTATGACATTTTGCTATTCTTAATGTTCTTTCCTATATTTTATTAACAAACTTACTTTTCCATTAATTAATTAGTATTCCATATTGTCCTGAATGTAAATAGAAATCCAACATGAGAAAATCAATTTGTGAAAGTATGAAAAACAACTATGAGGGACTAGTATCCAGAATATATGAAGAACTTTTACAGCTCAACATTAAAAGAAAAATCAATCTAAATAACATGCAAAGGGTTTGAAGCAGCAGTTCTCCAAAAAAGATAGAAATAGGGCCAATAAGCACATGAAAAAATATTCAGCAGTGTTAATTTTCAGGGAAATGTAAATCAAGCCACAGTGAAGGATTGCTTCATATTTATTAGGGTGGCCAAAATACAAACTACTGGTAGTATTAACGAAGAATTAAGAAAGTGGTGGTGTTATCAAGTACTGAGAATGTAAGAGATTGACAGCTGTTTTGGAAAACTTCAGACACTTCTGCATAAATCTTACATATGCGTGTTCACAATAGCATTATTCATAATAGACAAAAAGTAGAAACAACCAAAATGTCTATCAGTGAATCAATGTGTAAATAAAATGTGATATATTCACACAATAAAATATTATTTAACCATCATAAAGAATATGTGTTGAATCACTATAATGGAAATAAACCTTGAAAACATGAAAAGAAAGGCAGCCAGACATAAAACACAGTGAATACTATATGGTTCCATTTATATGAAATGTTCAGAATAGACAAATTCATGGGTTAGTGGCTAGGAGTCAAAAAATGGAAATGGAAGAGGCTGTAAGTGGGCACGGATCTTCTTTTTTAAGCTAATGCAAGTGTTCTAGAAGTCATGGAGATGCCTAAATTACTTTTTCTAGTCTAAAAACCACTGAGCTCTACACTTTAAAGCCTGAATTTTAAGGGATGTTAATTATATTTCTATAAATGACTACAGATATGGGAGCTACCACTTTTTATATAGTGTATTAATACATGGATTTTCAGGAGTTCTGCAGGTTTGTATAAATACATGTGCATTGACTATACTATGCTAAATAACATGATATGATAATGTTTCTTTGTGTGGGCAATATAACGTATATTTTGGATCGAAATTCTCACTTACTATTAAAGTTCATTGAAAACCTTAGTGATTTAAACTTAACAATACATTCCGAGAAATGTGTTCTCAGGCAGTCTCACTATTGTGTGAGCATAATGAAGTGTTTCTGTACAAACTCAGCCATAACATCACTGGGTGATCCAGCCTTGTGTGACCACCTTCATACATGTGGTCTGTTGTTGATTCAAGTGTAGTTGGACAGCGCATGAGTGTACTTCTGAAATGATTTTATGCTTTTACTAAAGGCTACATCCTTTTATTTGTGGAAGTTGCTATTATAAATGACTATATTGTAAAAATTGTTACCTTCCTTTTCTAGGATTTCCAAAGAAGATAACCACGAAGCAGTGTTACCGTCTGCTTGGAAATAGTCTCAATGTTCATGTAGTAGCTAAACTAATCAAAATCCTGTATGAATAATTTTGAAATAACTCTGAAAGACGGTTGTGGTATTCCTTCATCGCAGATAATAATTCTGAAATTCTATTTTGAATTAACTCTAATGAAATCAAAATAAAGTATTTTAATCTCTAATAAGAAAGTTAGATATTATTCCCAATTTGCCAATTGGTTTTAATAAATTTATATTTCTGTATTTTTTATAAAATGAAAGTTATTGTTTTTGTCTTATAGGTAATATATTTTCATATGAAACTTGAATAAGTGTAAAATACTATCTTTATGTGGAATATGGTAGAAACAAATTTAAGAACATTCAAATATTAATGTCTATGTGAATATTTTATAAAGTATCATACTGTAACAGTGAACCTTTGAAATATGTAGTGTATTTTTATATGTTAATTTAAGAAGTCTTTGGAATCTTAACATTTTATTTTTTGTTATATAATTACACTTATAATGCTTTTTTATTTTAGCCTGTTTCAAATAATACTGTTTTACTTAGTCCTTTAAGTGTGACTTAATCCAAACAAATGCATGTAACATTTTAAATCAATTGTCATGTAACATACAACAGTCTAAAGAATATATCAGAAAAATACTCCTGAATTCTTGATTATCTCTCCAATGGTGGCCTTAGGAAATGTAGGTGTGTTCTATACTCATCTTTTCTTCAGGTCCCATTTGAAGGTTTCAAACTTACTGCCCCCTCTTCATCTGCATGTACTTTGCTGTTATCAGACCTTGTTTTTGCTTCCTTTTTCTGATTTTGAGTTACATTTTCCACTACATCCTAAGGAATGTGAGTGTCATTTAGATTTTAGGAAGGAAATGATCTTCTGACCCCACTCTATATGGTGCTGATTTCTACTCTATATCCAATTCTTTTCACTATAGTAACATATGCCAAGAACTTTTGTAATGTTTAACTTTCTCCATCTCTCCTTGTCAAAAGACCAAAAAACTTTTCTTTCTGGTTTTTTGAAATGAGGTCTAACTATGTAGTTCAGGTTGACTTTGAACTCATTATGTTGAACTTGATCCTCCTGCAATGTAAATGTAGATTATATGACCCAGCAATTCTACTTCTGGGTATATACCCTAAAAGCATTGAATGTGAGGACTGGAACAGATATGTGTACATGAGTGTTTGTAATAGCATCATTCACAACTACCAAAAGTAACCTAATGTGCATCCCTTCAGTAGATGAAAGGGTAAGTAAAATGTGGTATGTACATGTAATGGAATAGTATTTGGCAGTAAAACAGTGAGATTGTAACACAGGCCATGACCTGTAAGCATTGGTACAATATGCTAAATGAATAAAAATACAGATATTGTACTTGTGTCATGCTTTGGGACTTCTCATGGGTAACAAGCAATACAGGACACATTTTATAAAATCATCATCACCCAAAGAGGCATATACAAAGAGTGCAGGAAATCTGTCTACACACTAAAGCCTGAAGAATCTAGCTGAGGGCCTGGATATCCTGCGTGAGCCCAGCTGAAGACATAGAGCCCATAACAAGTCCAACTGGAGGTCTGGAGCCCGCGACAGTGTTTCTTGCAGGCCCACTTCACAGATCTGCACTGAAGAGGCTCAAAGGTCAGTGGTGGAAGCAGAGTCTGTGCCAGTGAGATGAAGGATATGTGCTAGCAGGCTGAGAGGTCTTCCTTGGAGACAGGAGGCAATGCTTTAGGAACCAGAGCTCCCCTGGAAATTACCAAGACCATCCTCAGCAACAGTGAGGTCCCAAGCTCCTCCAAGGATGAGAAGAGCCAAGTTCCCATCAGGAAAGCCAATGCAACAAGCTTCTCCAGGAGACTGAGCAGCGCGCCATCTTTCCCTCTGGAGGCAGGAAGTGATATTCAATGTGAGGACCACAGCTCCCCTAAAGTGAACAATAGCCATTGTCAGCAACTTTGAGGTCCTCTGATGAGAATAGCCAAGTTCATCAGGAAAGCCAGTGTGACTAGGTCCCCTAGTAGAATAGTGCAGGAGAACTAGTAGCTTCTACAGCTTCCCTAACAGCCTTTCAACAGCACTAGTTCTTGTTATGCAGTTTATAACAATCTCCAGGTGGGTCTCCCACACCCAGCACCAAGCTAATTCCATTTAGCTGGGTGTAACAAGTCGACCACCAGTTGGTAATCCACTATAATGTGTAATCATATAATATATTAATATATACTACCTAGGAGACTCAAGTTCATAGTATGTCTCAGTTACTTTTCTCATTGCTGGGACAAAATGCCCAGACCCAAAATTAAGGAAAGGTTTATTTAGTCCCCAGTTGGTGGAGGTTTCAGTCCATACTCAGCTGGCTTCAGTGCACAGTGGCACATGGCACAGAGGGCAGCAGTTCGTAGCAGCAGAAAAGAGCAAAGAGCCCAAAAGGGAGGAGCGGTGGTTACTGCAGTTAGCAAACCTTTCCTTATATTGCATTCACGCTATCAGTCCCAGGTGTAGTACTCATAGCCATAATCCCAGCATTGGATCATGAATTAACCACAAACTCTAGAAGTCGCCTGCCCCATGAATGCATGAGGCCTTGTGGGGACAACTAGACAAACCTTATCAATATAGGTAGGATTATGTTTGCCAAGGATGAGGAAGGGGAAGAACTGGAAATGAATGGGCAAGAGTTTCTATCTGAAGTGATAAAACAATAAAGATGGATGGTAGTGATGGTTGAATAACAATGGGGATGTGCCTAATGCAATTGAACCACGCACTTGAAAATAGTGGAAATGGAAAAGTTTATGTAATGTATATTTTGCTTCAATCTAAGGCAATCATATTGCACTGTAAATTTTTGTGACTCACAGACAAACAGATAGTGGGGAGCCATAAGCCAATACAGGCGCATCAACAGGCATCTGTGTTTTGTGGGTATGTTCAAAGATAAACCTTATTACAAGCCTCATAAATTTTATTCAACCTGAAGACATCTGCCACACTTCCATGTAGTTTATCTTCACTGCCGAAAGATTCTTTGTCAGTAAAATGGTTTGTAGTTTAATATAATTAAATGGTAAGAGTTATGCTATAAATACAGTGTCTAATGTTCTATTGAGCAACATATAAAATTAAGTTTTCAGCTATAATGTGCTAACTATAAGCACTTGCTAGGTCTACAGAGAGGTTTACTTTCAAACTGGAAGTCTAGTTTTGTGTAACTATTAAATAAATGATGTCTGGCTTAGCTCAGTTGTTTAAGCGCCTGCTGGAGTAAACCCAGTCAGGCACAGGGGACCCTGGATGGATCCCCAGGTCTCCATGCCTTACCAGACCCTCCCTTAACGCAGCCTGAGAAGGAAAGGAGAATATTTTGTGGACCATTTTGTGTGTGTGTGTGTGTGTGTGTGTGTGTGTGTGTGTGGCAGTTTTTAAGTTACTAGTTTTTAAAATCAATACTTTTTAATCGAAACAACTTGAGACCCATTAAAACAATGTTTAATGAGGAAAAAAATATAAATAAATAAATGATGTATTCACAAACAGTTGCTGATTTTTGCCCTTAACTCATTGTTGAAAATACACAGTAATGCAATGCACATCTTAGTGGAAGTATATTTACTAGTGTCATTTAATAACCACATGTATATAGAAATATATAATTCAGAATATGTCATCTTATTGAATGCCACCTGGTATTGAATGTACAAAAATTTTGCACTGGAAACTCCTGATTTTTTTTTCGCTGAACCTGGGACTGAACTCAGGCCCTTGCACTTGCCAGGAAAGTGCTTATTGTACTGAGCTATCTCCCCAGCCCTCCTGATATTTGTACTTACACATTATTCCACAGATTGGAAAATAGACCCTCTGCTCTTCAAGAGACCTATACCTAGTTAAATGTTTGCCATTCTTAACAGCATAATGATTTTTTCATTCTCCTTTTTTTGCATCACCCTTGCTCTTTTAAATAGTGTGCTAGAATATCCTAAAGTAGTTATTAACCTTGTCTCATAAGTTTAGTATGTTTTAAGGACTGTAAATTAATTAAAATTATTAAAGGAATGTAAACAAAATGAGTTATATTGGCAAGTGATTTTGAAGAGTGGTGGGAAGCCATCATAGGAGCCAAAGCCTGACTGCCTTAGAGCCAAATGGCAGGGGGACCACGGGACCACGGGTTCTGAGTGTGAGTTCTGTTATTAAGTCAGATCTGCGCATGGGGCACTGCCCTGTGCCTTGAAAATGAGAGAATAGCTCTGACTCCCAGCCATTTTGCTCATCCTCAGCTAGAATCTTTTAAAGAGACAGGGCCAGTAGTTGAAATTACAATCAATAAGGAGCTACCCAGCATGTTTCAAAATTTGAAGGTAAACTGTTCCTCAAGTTGACCCATCTTTTTCAAGAATAAACTTACTTGATAGAGAAGTTTTCAGGTGCTTTGACACCTGCACACTACCCTCTTGGATGTAAAGACAGACTGTTATAAGTAAGTGCAGCAGTTCTGCCCACAGGCACGGTTTAGTATTAACAGAACTGACCACCTGCCTTAGGATTCAGATCCATCTTAGTTCAGACCAGAAGTGATTAAGTTGGTGTTTTCTGAGCAGGGAGGAAGAAGCTATGGACAAATGAAACTGGTTTAATTCCAGCTATAGCATTTCAGAATAAAACAGTAACTGCATTTTATCTATCCTTCATCAGACATTTACTACAGAATGCATTCTGCAGGCCAGTTACTATGTCTATCCAAATTAAACTCTGGTTACTCATTTGTTTTGATAACTTTATAATTTAGAATCACGTTCTCTAGTCAAGAAACACAATAGGACCTAAAGTTCAGCCCATAATGACAAAGTGGTTGAAATGTGCTTTGTGTTGCTTTGCTGTTGAGCAAAAGCTGAACTGGGGCTGGGAGTGTTGTTCAGTGGCAGAGTGTGCTCTGCATGTTCATGGCCTTTGGTTCAAAACCCAGAAGGACCCACTTCCTAATGTGTGGAGTCCTCAGCTTAGAACTGCTTTGGGTCACCAGTCACTGTACGGTATTACTACTGGCTCTGGACTTTGAAACAGCGAGTGTCATTTTGTCTTGCAGTTTTCTCACAGCTTGTGATTCAACTCAGGATTATATAATTTGGCAAACCTCACAGCACAATATATAATTTAACTTATTCTCTTTGGACTTCTCTGTTCTATTTTCTCAACCTTTCCTGCCCAAGCATACCCATCTTAAGATTTCTTGACCAGGCACATTTTCTCATCCTCTTCTCCATTCATCCCACTCACCAAAGATACCAAGTTACACCTATGGTTCATCTCAGAGTATCTGTCTTCATGTTGCATAAAAGTGAGATTTTTGCATGTGTTTTCCAGCTTCAGATTATACCAGTCAGTTTGTACCATTTTCCTTCTTGTAATACCTTTCTTTGATACTAAAATTGTAAAGTTTCAATGTAACCAAAAAACTTTCCTAGCTTCTGTTTCCCTCTTAAAAGACTTTTAGGAACCTTTAAGATGATACCCTCTCCAAAAATCTCGCAGAACCTTGATCTAAACTACATCACCACTTATGTGTTAGTCTGCAAGTTTATTTCTTTTTAAATACATTTACTCAAGAAATAAAAACATGTACAAGAGCTGTTTTGGCTTCTCATTTCTCATGTTCTCAAATAAATTCATTTTATATTTGCTGTAAGTTTTGAGTTACTTTCAACCACACCTAAGTATCATGTTCTCTCAAGTATAACATGATTGATTCCTAAAGCTTTGACAGTTGTGTTTGTAAATATGAAAGTAGACATGCCAAAGATAGAAGTTAAAAAGTTACTTTCTCCATAGACTCTTATTCTTTACAGCTGTAGGACATTCTTATTGCTTTGCTTGTACATAGTGTGGTTTCATTGTTTCCTTTGAGTATTTTCTCTGTGTTTGGTCTGCATTTTTGTGTCTATTCATATCAAGGCAGATTGAAGTTATAAGTGTACATGGTTGTTTAGAGAAGGTGGCTCTATAATCAGATGAGATCACCTGGAAAAGGGCAGAGCGAAGGAGGGTGATGTGTGTAAGCTGGACCCCACTGCCTCTGAGAATCCAGCCCTTGTGCCTGTCTGTTGTCCCAGAGACCACCACCCCTCCTC